AACATAGTGGTGAGTTCCCTCAGTTTTCCTTTTGCCTAATATCTTCCAGATTCTACAAAAGCTGCAACCCTGATACACCAACAGGCACACACATAAGTAGCCCCCAAACTGCCCTCTTTTAAGTCACAGAACCAGGAAAGAAGCAACCTAACAAGACAGAAAAGTTTTAAGAAAATAACCACTCTACCACAGCAGAAGACCACACACAAAAAAATTCTGGCTCTATACCCATCCAAGCCTGCAAAGGTACAATGGAGAGCCTAGAATTTCACCAATGATAGGCTATAATGAGGTGCTTCTACCTTTCTCCTCCTATCCCCCACCTAGAATCATATCAGAGAAGGCTAAATAATCACTAAAACATCTGTGCAGGCCAGGCACAGTAGCTCACTCCTGTAATCCCAGCACTTTGGAGGCCGAGGCAGGCAGATCACCTGAGGTCAGGACTTCTAGACTAGCCTGGCCAACACGGTGAAACCCCATCTCTACTAAAAACACAAAAATTAGCCAGGTGTGGTGGTGGGCACCTGTAGTCCTAGCTACTCGAGAGGCTGAGGTAGGAGAATCAATTTAACCGGGGAGGCAGAGGTTGCAGTGAGCCGAGATCGTGCCACTGCACTCCAACCTGGGCAACAAGAGTGAAACTCCATCTGAGAAAACAATAATAATGATAATAATCTATGCAAGAGATAACATTCATAAGTCACTGATAGCTAAACCAAAATGAAATTCTAAAAAAGTTCAAGTAAGCCACAGGAAGACAGAAAAGAAAAACACTGAGAAATAAACACAGAATAAATAGAAAACAGAAAATAAATGGCAGGCTTCAATACTGACATAACAATAATTGCACTAAATGTAAGCAGTCTATATACACCAATTAAAAGACAGAGTACCAGAGTAGATTAAAAAGTGACCCAACTTTATGCTTCCTAAAATTAAAATCACTTCAAATATAATACATAGGTTGAAAGTAAAAGAATCGGAAAAGATATACCATGCAAACCACTAGTTAAAATAAAGCAGGTATGGCAATATAATTACAAGATAAAGTAGACCTGAGCAAGGGAAAGGGATATTATGTAATATCCACCCACCACCAAGAAGACTAGCAATCAAAAATATATATGCACCAAATGATAGAGCTGTAAAATATGTGAAGCAAAAACTGGTAAAACTGAAAAAAAAAAAGACAAATCCACTATTATAGCTGGAGACTTCAACACTCTTCTCTCTAAAATTAATAGAACTAAACAAGAAGGATAGAGAACTCAACAATTATAGAAAACTTCACCTAACAACAGCAGAATACATATTCTTTCCCAGTGCTCATGGAGCATATATCTAGATAAATCATATCCTGTCCCACAAAAACAAACTTCAAATTATTTAAAAGAATTGAAATTACACAGATTATATCCTTTCACCACAATGAAATCAAACTAGAAATCAGTAACAAAAATATAACATAAACATCTCCAAGCACTTGGAAACAGAATAACACACTTCTAAATAATCCATGGGTCAAAGAGAAAGTTTCAAGTATAATGTATTTAAAAAATACATTAAACTTAATAAAACTAAAATACAATATATCAAAATGTGTGAGATGCAACTAAAATAGTGCTGAGAGGAAAATTTATAGCATTAAGTGCTTACATTACTACAACTCACCCAATATGAAATATATAATTTGAACAGCCCTGTAACCATTAAGGAAATTAAATTTACCAAAAGTTTAAAGAAGAGTTAATACCAGTTCTATACAACTTCAAGAAAATAGAAGAAAAGGGAAGATTCCCAATTAATTTTATAAAGTGAATATTATTGTGATACTCCAGACAAAGACAGTAGCCCAAACAAACAAAAAATGAAACCCCATACTATAGACCAATAGATGTAAAAATTGTTTTAAAAATATTAGCAAAAAAATTTAGTAATATATATAAAAGGAATTATACGCTATGGCCAAGTAAGTTTATCCAAGGATGTAAGGCTGGTTCAATATTTGAATACCAACTAGCATAATTTATCTTATTAGGCAGCTAAAAAAGAAAAATTACAAGATGCAGAAAAAGCATTTGAAAAAATACAACACCCAGTTATGGGAAAAACTCTTAGCAAAAGAGAAAGAGAGGGGCAAATATACCCCTTCTCAATTTGATAGAGAAAATCTACAAAAAAACTATAAGTAACATTATGGAATGCCTTCCCCCTAAGATGAGGAAAACAGCTAGGATATCCACCCTTACCACTGCTATTCATCATAGTACACACTTATTTAGAAGTGTATTATTCAGTTTCCAAGTGTATGTAAGCTCTAGCCAGCATGCTAAAACAAGAAAATTCAATAAAAGGCATATACATTGGAAAGGAAGAAACAAAACTGCCTCTATTTGCAAATTCCAAGATAGTGTATGTAGAAAATCCAAAGGAATCTACCAGAAAAAAATCTCATAGAACTAATAAGCAAGTTTAGCAATGCCACAGGACACAAGAGCATCACATGAAAATCAATCATATTTCTATATACCAGCAATACATACATAGAAACAAAAATTAAAACAAAAACAAAAATTAAAAGTACAATAGTTCAAAACAAAAAACTGAAGTAAATACTTAGGTATAAATCTAACAAAACATGCACAGCACTTGTAGGCTGAAAAATATAAAATGCTAACAAAAGAAATCAAAGAAGACTAAAATGGAAAGATATGCCATTCCTGCTAATGGGAAAGTCAACTTAATAAAGATGTTCCCTTAATTCTCCCTAAACTGATAGAAAGATTTAGCACATTTTTTATCAAAGTCCTAGCATGTGGGAACAGGGGATCTGGTGAACTGAAAGAATGTTGCCGAGTTCACCCAACTCCAAGGCAGCAGCAGGAAGGATCCTTCCTGGCCCCACTCCACAATGACTATCGCTCACCTGGATCAGCCTCTCTTGCTGTGAGTTGGAGTCTGCAAAGTTGAGATCTCTCTCTCTGTCTCTCTACCTGTACCTAAGACAGAGGTTCTCACACTTTAGTGTGCTGGAGATTCCCTCAGTATCTTCCCAGACCCCTGGCCCTGCACAGGCACCAGCAGACTCTCTGGAGATTGAGAATCAGGCATGTGTGTTGGACAAGAGGAGCAAGAAAGGGAAGAAGACAGAGCTGGTGACTTACATGGCTCAGAAAGAACCCAGGAATTGGCTGGGCGTGGTGGCTCATGCCTGTAATCTCAGCACTTTGAAAGGCCGAGGCAGGCAGATCACAAAGTCAGAAGTTCAAGACCAGCCTGACCAACATGGAGAAACCCCGTCTCTACAAAAATATACAAAATTAGCCGGATGTGGTGGTGGGCACCTGCACTCTCAGCTACTCAGGAGGCTGAGCGAGGAGAATCGCTTGAACCCATGAGGCAGAAGTTGCAGTGAGCCAAGATCATGCCACTGCACTCCAGCCAGGGTGATAGAGCAAAACTCCATCTCAAAAAAAAGAACCCAGGAATCTTTTTCGAGGTTGTCGCTGGGATAGTGGTGCAGATGTGGCTGGGGGAGGCCCAGCCAGCCCCTGTGGGACCATCTCGCTTGGTGCACAGGACACCTACTGACAGTCACCAGTGCACTACCATGGAAGAAATCTTCCTGGAGCTCATGGCATGGACCAATCAGCACTTCTCAGAAGCTAAAAAAGGCCCAGCCCGCTCCCCTTCTCTGTGGGTCCCAGTATATTTTTAAAAGTCAAGACAATTCAAAACAGAGTTTCTAAAACTATGGCATGTTTGTAATGTTTTAGTTATTAAATTAGTGCTTTTGATGCATACACAGACACACACACACACACACACACACACGCAGGGAAAAAAAAAAAAAAAACCAAAGTCCTTGCATGATTTTTTGTATATATAGATTACTGTAAAATTTATATGGAATGATAAAGAAACTGGAATATCTAACACAACCAAAAAGAATAATAATGAGGGAAGCACCAGCCTACCTGATTTCAAGACTTAACTATAGCTATGGTAGTCAATACTGTGTAATATTAGTGAAAAGAAAGACACATAGATCAGTGGAACACAATACACAATTGAGATACAGCCCCATACAAATATAGCCAAGTGACTTTTAACAAAGGTGCAAATGTAATTCAATGGAAGAAAAAGAATCTTTTTAACAAAAAATGCTGAAGAAAATGGATACCCACAGGAAATAAAAAAATGAACCTTGACCTCTACCTCATACTGTATGTAAAACTTAACTCAAAATAGATTTAAATGCAATATATAAAACTTTTAGAGGAAAATATAGAAGAAAACCTTTGTAACCAGGGTCTCCTTAATGGGCTCTCAGACATCAAAAGCATAACACATAAATGAAAAAATTAATAGATTGAATTTTATCAAAATTATATTTTTTCCTCTGTGAAAGTCCCTTTAGTTAAGAGGATGAAAACACAAGCTGTGAGCCAGGAAAAAAAATATTTGCAAACTGAATCCGATAAAGAAATAAGCTAGAAAGAAATCTGAAAACTTACCACTAAAAAAACCAGACAATTCAATTTAAAAAATGGGCAAAAGGCACAAAGAGCTGTTTCACCAAAAAGAATATACAGATGGCAAGTAAGTACATGAAAAGATGTTCAATATCATTAGTCATTATAGAAATGTAAATTAAGACTGCAATGAAATATCCTACTCATCTATCAAAATAGCTTAAATAAAATATAATGATAACACCAAATACTTGAGGGTGTTCAGAGACACTGGATCACCCATACATTGCTGGTGGAAATCGTTTGTCAGTTTCTTAAAAAAACTCATCATACATATACCTTATCACTCAATAATCATGCTGCTGCGCATTAGAAATAAAAACTTGCATGTGCACAAAAGCCTGTACATGTTTCATAACAGCTTCATTTGTATAGCCAAAAGCTGAAAGTAACCAAAATGTTGTGCAACAGGTGAATGAGTAAACAAATCATGGTACATCCATATCATGGAATACTACTCACCATTAAAAAGGGATGAAGTATTGATACACATAATTTAGATAGATTACAGGAATCTACACATGTAAGAAAATGAGAAGAAACTACACACACACACATTGTACCAATGTCAAATTCCTGGTTTTGATCTTTTACTATACTTATATATGTGCCCATTTGGGGAAACTGGGTTAAGGATACATGGAAACTCTAGCTTTACAACTTCTTGTATAATTATTTTTAAGAAATTAAAAGATAACAAAAGAGCAATTCAGAAATTATTTTGACGTTCCAGCCTTCTTCTTGCGCAAAACATAGAAAATGAAAATAAACCATCATTTTTTCAATGGTATAAAATCATTCTCTGTGTTTTAAAATAGTAAATAAAACAGTACATAGGTGACTAAAAGAGATACTTCCGAAAGAATAAAAACTATATTTCTACATAGTGGCATAGGTCCTGAGAATATCAATTTTTAAAACTCTAACCACAAACACTTTTAATTAACTTCATTGTCAGGAAAATCATGTATGTAATTTAGATCTTGTATTGGATTAATTATTGAGCCTCATGGTTAATGAATAAGTGGAACACATGAGATAAACACAAAGTTATTTTTATTTCTATAAATAGTAACAGAAATCAGCTTTATTAGAAAATTTCAAGTATCCTAAAGTAATATATAAGGATCATACATAGCTATTCACTTTTATAAGACTTTAAAAAAAAATCTGCCATGTTTACTCTACACAGAATGACAAATCCAAAGAGCTGAAAATTTCCATTTCTTAAATTTCATTTGAGTAAATCCTATTAGTATAGTGTATTTTGCAAATAACAAAGAATATGGCTTTTGGAACTAGAGAAATAAGAGTCCTAAATGGTTCATCAATAACTAGTGACTCCTACTTAGGCTCTCTGAAGTTTTGCCTTCCTCATCTGACATACCTATCACACTGGACTGTTGTGAGACTTAAATGATACAATGTATATTAAGTTAATATTGTCAAATTATATATAAATATTAATATCAATAACAATAACTTAAACAATTCTTAATTCTTGGCAAAAATTTATAAGGCAATTATTTTTCTTCAAATAGTCTTCAAATTCAATTATGCTATTTCAATGATTTTAAGACACAAACTTTTTCGCACTTATCTGCACCTGACAGACATCTTACAATCACTCTGGTTGGGTAGTAGCATGACATATTTGTCATTACATGTGTATTAAATTTGAAGTATGGACATCAGCATCTTGGAAGAAGACCCTGGAGATAATAATGGACATTGGTTTAAGAAATGATGTATCACTAATGCTCTAAACAGAGAATGATACTATAAAAACAAAACATAGACATGGGTACTCTGAATTGAAAATCAATAAAAGACATTTTGAATGTTAAGAAGTTTTAGGCCGGGCGCGGTGGCTCACGCCTGTAATCCCAGCACTTTGGGAGGCCGAGGCGGGCGGATCACGAGGTCAAGAGATCAAGACCATCCTGGCCAACATGGTGAAACCCCGTCTCTACTAAAAACACAAAAAAATTAGCTGGGCGTGGTGGCACGCGCCTGTAGTCCCAGCTACTCGGGAGGCTGAGGCAGGAGAACTGCTTGAACCCGGGAGGTGGAGGTTGCAGTGAGCCGAGATCGAGCCACTGCACTCCAGCCTGGCACCTGGTGACAAGGTGAGACTCTGTCTCAAAAAAAAAAAAAAAAAAAAAAAAGAAGTTTTAGGAGTGCCTCAGCCAATTAATTTTGCTTATGTTCTTTGTACGTAAGTGAAAGGATATTATATGATTTTTTTTAAAGGGAGCTCTTTGTATGAGTAGAAAAAATTCTTAAAGAGTTGTGCCATAGTTGGTATTTTTTTTCTTAGTAGTATATAAAATAATAGTATACTTTATAAGATTGCATCCTAGCTTCAATGAAACACCTTCCTGCCCAAAACACTGACTCAGTTTTAAAAATGATTCTCTTATTGTTTTAAAGTCTTCCATTAAAATTTGATTTAAATAATTGAATCAATAAAGGTACAAGAGTCAAGCCTAAGAACGAAGCCTTTGATAAAAAAGTAATGACAAAAATCAAATACCACTTGATAAAAGTAGAACATTAAAGCTGTGCTCTACCTGATCTGGGCTTTGATTTCATTGGGTCCTACAGTGATCTTAGTTTGGTCACTGATGTTTCAATATGTGGCATGATTTCTGGCCTATTCTAGTAAATATTTATTATAGATGCTAACTATATGACAAGCACTGAATTAGGCACTAGAGATAGCAAAGAGAATAAAAGACAGACATGGTCCTTGCTTTTTTGTTGTTCAGTATCTGGTGAAGAAGACATAATAAATAAGGTACTATAAGTTTTTATAAATACTGTGAAGACATAGTAGGAAGTAGAAATAAAAATGAACAATGAGGGCATTCAATTTCAGACAGTAACAAAAGGGGTAACGGTGAATGCTTATATAGTGTTTATTATGTGCCATGCTTTGTACTATGTTTTGGTTTTTTGAGAGACTCTTGCTGCGTCACCCAGGATAGAGTACAGTGGCAGGATCACAGCTCACTGAAGCCTCAACCTCCTGGTTCAAGCAATCCTCCCACTTCAGCCTCCTGAGTAGCTAGGATTACAGGTGTGCATTAGTACACTTGGCTAATTTTTTTTTTTTTTAAGAGATAGGATCTCACTATATTACCCAGGTTGGGCTCAAACTCCTGGCCTTAGGTGATACTTGCGCCTCAGCTTCCCAAACTGCTGTGACAATAGGCATGAGCCACCGCGCCTGGCCCATGCTATATGTTTTACACATAGGCTTTTAATCTTCAAAAAACCTAAATAAAGCAGATACTTATCTTCACTTTAAGAGAGAGAAAATGGGCTTTGATAATTTAAGTAATTTGGCTAAGATCATATAGCAAGTAAGTGGGGAGGTTGGTATGTGAACTCAGTCTGGGTTGAGAGCCCTTGCTTTCATCCACTACACTACTAGGGAAAGCCTTTCTGAAGTGTCATTTGAGAACTGAATCATAAGAAGGTAAGGAGATAGTGAGAGAAATCATATATAAAGCCCTACAGGGGGAAAGGAGTCCTTCAGGTTTAGGAAATTAAAGGCAGCCAATATGGCTGGAGTAGTTAATGAAAGCAAGAGGGTCAGGAGATAGGGCTGCAGAAAGCAGTTGCTACCTCAGGCAGAATCCTATGGGTCACAGGAGCTGGGAGTTTATTCCAAGTGAAATAGGAACAACTGATCATTTTAAACCGGACAGTGACATGACATCATTTTTTAAAAAAATATTTTTGTAGCTAATGTATCAAGAACGAATTGAAAGAAGGTATGAGGAGTCCAAGTCATTCATTTATTCAACAAATATTAGTTTGTGGAGTAACAAATATTGTGGCAGGCACTATTCTAGATACTAGAAATGCAGCTAAAAACAGCATAGACAAGGTTCTCTACTCTGGAGTCCGCTTTAGAATGGTGAACACACACACACACACACACCCCTCGCTTCTCCTACATTAACAATTTCGCCACACTTCTGGACATTTTCCAACAGCATGCCACTTCTACTATCTTTCATCTTTAAACAAACATCAAACAAAAATCTATCATCTGATCTTTTATTCCCCTCTAGCTACCATCCCATTTTTCTACTTCCTAAATCCAGAAAAACTTTGAAAAACTTTCAAGAACACTCTGTGGTAGTGTCACCTCCAGTTATTGTCTCAACCCACTACAATAAAATTTCTTTATTTTACTCCATTAAAACTGCCCTTGTCAATGTCACCACAATGCCATCTTGAAGCTAAATTTTCATTTCTCTCTCCTTATTTCACCTCTTAGGAATATTCATACTGTTAACTAGTCCTTCTTGAAACACTCATCTTTTAGTTTCTGTGCCACAACATTCTTTAGGTTTCTTACCTTGCTGGCCTCTCCTTCTCAGTCTAATTAGAGGGCAATATAGCATAAAGATTAAGGGCATGGATTTCTAGATTTAGCTCTGAAAGCAGGTTGTGCTATGGCATGGAAGGCAGACATTGGAAGATAGTGCTCCCCTTTCTCAGGCAGGCTAGAAAAATGATTAGTATTTCAGATGAAAAGTGATGGTGAGTTATACCAGAGTGTTAACAGTGGAAATAAAGAGAAATAAATGGATTTAGCTGTATTTTAGAAGTACAGCCAAAAACATTTAGAGATAGATTGGATATAGGGAGTCAAAGAAAAGGACCATCATACTTTTTTCATTGAGAAACTGGTAGAATTAGGGAGCTACTCAAGGAAGTCTTGGGCGGGGGGAAAAGGTTTGAGGTAGAATAAAGTTTGTGACCCAATAAAAAGTTAGTGAATATATCCAAAAAACACCTAGACTTAGAGATGATCTCATCCAATGCCTTTCCATTGAAATTAATACCTGGAAAAGGTTACATCACGCATAGGATCCTCTGTAACCAAAGTCACACAAACAATTAGTGGTAGAGCTGGAAACACAAAATGAGTCTCCCAGAATCCTGCTAAGAAGCCACAGATCAGCATCAAGCAAGACAATCATTACAGACTCAGTGAGCCTCTATTACTTTAGTCCTCTTCTTCCCCTGATCAATGCAATAAAAAATATTTTAATAAAATTGTTGGGTTCATTTAACATAGGCAAGTTATGAACTGCATATTTATATTTCCTTAATAAAAGTGAGTGAGGGAAGTAAAGGCAGATGGGATATAAAAAGCAGTGTTACCCTTGACGTTAATTGTGGAGGCATTAATAACATTTACTCATGTGTCCTATTTGTAAAAGGTTTACATGACATTCCCGCTCAAGTACTATCCATTCTATTTTGCAAGATAGTGCACACGCAAATAATTCAGGACAGTAAAAGAGATGTCATAAGGCAATACTAGATTAACTGCCAAATGAATTATATAAACAATACTGTTTTGAGAAAAGGTACTCTGAAGTAGGCCCTAAGAGAAGGTTTAAGTTAAGCTCTAGAGGATGACACAGAAGATTTTTAAAAGTACACAGGGAAGGGGATTAAACAAACCTATAAAATTTATTCACTAGGATGCTAGGTTTGGGGCTGAGGTTTGGGAGTGGGGAGAGTGAGCTATTTTAGACTGTGTGAACAGAGATACTCTGTTTGGTAGGACATTTGGGGCTGAATGATACAGAGAAAACAAGGAATGTGATAATGGGAGAAGGGGAGAATATTCTAGATATAACAAGTACAAATAATCCCTACATTACTGTCTGTGTATTAGACTCCATAGATTTGACACACAGAGATCTTGTTCGATGGGAAAATAATGGGATATGAATTCCTAAACTTGAATTTAAACAAATTCTCTTTCTGAGCTCAGTGTCTCCATCAGTAATAAGTGCTGCACATAACATGTGCGATAACGTACACAGAAGTGTTTTGGAAGCAGAAACGTATAATGTACCAAAGTTATAAAAATCAATTTAAAAGGCAAGAATGAAAAGTTATATGATTCTTAAAAATAAAGAAGTGAGTTATGATCATTGATGATATGGGTATTAGTATTACCTTATGTATCTTTACACTGTCTCTTGTACTTTTTATGCATATGATTTATTTGCCTTACCAGATTGTAAGCTCCCTGCAGCTGGTAAGCAGATTTTCAATATGGTAGGTGACACAAGCTTTTGGTTAGCTAAGATGATATATTAAGCCAATAATTCATTTTACTGTCCTTTAGGGATCTGAATTTCTGTGTGTGTGTGTGTGTGCGCTCAGAATACCATCTACTTTCGAGGGATTCGAGGGGGCTTATATCATGAAAAGTTAACGAAAACAAGTATAGATAAAAACAGAATAGAAACCATCTTAAAGAGACAGAGATAATAGGAAGGTAATTGTGTTAATTACTACTGCTGGCCTTTGGCTGGTATTTCCTGGCAGTCAGAGGAAGAAGGAAATCGGCTGAATCCCGCAGTACTGCACTTGAATCGACCTCCAGGTAGTCATTTACAGTCATCTGCAGAGACCTTTTCCCTGGAACAAAACCTGCAGGGCACTTGGATCGCGTGGGCTTTCATACGAGAATCAACAACAGCCTATACGGAACAACTAAGGAAGCAGACATACATCAGTATGACCCTTCATGAAGCCTGTGAAAATAACTGAGCAGAGTTATTTACTTGTTTCTGCTGCTGTTAGAGAAAGGACCTCTGTCATGATGGAAACACTGCAGCCTCAACAATGGAATCCTGTTTCCTCGCTAGGGCTCTAACCCAGGCTTGGCAATAGAAAACAGCACCTGGATCGCTTCATCGCCCCCAAATAAACTGCCAGCATTAGCCCAGCTGCTCGCTGGCAACCTCGGATTCAGGCGAGGTCGGTGTTCCGCACTGGGGGCAGTGCCTCTGCTTGGCCTTCGGA